TCCATGGGAGACAGATGTGGCCGTCAGCTGTGTAAAGATTACAACTTTGGAAACCCTGTGGGGAGTTCTAATCTGTCCTATAGGGTCATTATGAGTCTGAATCAACTGAAGGCATGGATTTGGGATTTTTTCATGTCTTTCACTTAGCATAATGTTTCAGAGTTCATTGTGTTGTAGCATATATCAGTACTTTATTCCTTTCATTGCCAAATAATATTCCATTGTATGGACAAACCACATTTTATTTAACTGTTCATCAGTCGATAGATACTTGGGTTGTTTCTACTTTGGGGCTATTATGAATAATGTCACTGTGCCCTTTCATGTATAAATTTTTGCATGAATTTATGTTTTCATTTCTCTTAGGTATATACCTAGGAGTGGAATTGCTAGGTCATATGCTCACTCTAACCTTTTAAGAACCCCATACTGTTTTCTAAAGTGGTTGCACCATTTTACAATCCACCAGCATATATGAGAGTTCCAATTTCTCCACGTCCTTGTCAACATTTGTTATTATCTGTCTTTTTGATTCTAGCCATCCCTATGCCTGTGAGGTGGTATCTCATTGTGATTTTGATTTGTATTTCCCTGATAGCTAATTACATTAAACATCTTGAGTTTTTTCTGTGTGCTTATTGGCCATTTGTATATCTTTATTGGAGAAATGTCTATTCATATCCCTTGTCCATTTTTTAATTAATTCATTTGTCTTTTTATTATTATTGAGTTGTAAGAGTTCTTTAAGGAGCTCTGATGGCAGAGTGCCTAAAGCATTTGACTGCTAACCAGAAGTTTGGTGGTTCAAACCCACTAGCCACTCCATGGAAGGATGATGGGACAATCTACTTCCGAAAGAGTTACAGCCTCTGAAACCCAGTGGGGGTCACTGAGTCAGAACTGACTCAGTAGCAGTGGGTTTGGTTTTTTTTTGGTTTGAAGAATTCTTTACATATTCTGACACAGTGGTTAAACCACTCTGCTACTAATCAGAAAGTTGTGAGTTCAAACCCACCAGTCACTCCATAGCAGAAAGATGTGGCAATTTGCTTCTATAAAGATTTACAGCCTTAGAAACTCTATGGGACAGTTCTGTCACTGTGAGTTGGAATCAATTCAATGGCATGGGGTTTTGGGTTAACAGATACAGAATTCACAAATATTTTCTTCCATTCTTTGGACTGTCATTTCACTTTCTTGATGGTGTTCTTTGAAAAACAGAAACTCTCAGTTTTTATGGCATCCAATTTATCAGGTTTTTTCTTTGGTTGCTTGTGCATTTGGCATCATATTTAAGAAACCATTGTCTAATCCAAGATCACAAAGATTTACTTATATGGATTTTTTAAGAGTTTTATAGTTTTAGCTCTTGAATTTAGGTCTTTGATCCATTTTGAGTTAATTTTTGTTTATGGTGTGATGTAGGGATCCAACTTCATTCTTTTGCATGTGGATATCTAGTTAGCACGTTAGTTGAAAAGATTAATCTTTCCCTATTGAATGGTCTTGGCACCTTTGTTGAAAATTAATTGGCTATAATATGAGGGTTTGTTTCTGGACTCACTCTTCTGTTCCACTGGTCTGTGTGTCAGTAACCCATCTAGTATGCCAGTATCACACTGCCTTGGTTAGCTTTATAATAATATTTGAAGTTGAGAAATGTGAGTCCTCCAACTTTGTTCTTTTTCAAGATTGTTCTGGGTACTCTGGGCACACAACCGAAATCTTAAAACATACTTGTTGCTTGGTCACTTGCTTTCTTACTTTATTGTTTTGCTGGTAGACTGGTGAACCCATGAGACTCCAGCCAGCCTGCATATTTTGGTGAACAATCCTTCTAAGAGCCTCCACCTCACAAGGCATTTGACCAGTAGTGATCTAAGCTGTTCTGGTGAACTGCCTTAGTCCAAAGCAAGGCAGTAAAAGAGGGAACTCAATGGGATGCATCTGGCCCCTCAACAGAACTGAATCCAATTCATCCCTCTCCTCCTCCCAATACCCCAGCCTGCCTTCTTCTTTTCTCCTTTACTTGTAGGGTCAGTGTTAGTGGTTATAATCTTACCTAGGTCCATTCCAGCAAGGAAGTTCCCTGGGTAGTGCCAATGGTCAGTACAGTTGAACCAAAAGGCTGGTGGTTCGAGTCCACCCAGAGGCACCTCAGAAGAAAGGCCTGGTGATCTACTTCCAAAAAATCAAGTATTGAAAACCCAGTGGAGCACAGTTCTACCTTGACATGCATGGGGTGACCATGAGCTGGAATTTTCTCAATGGCTACAGGTTTTAATTTAAAATCACCCCAGTCTTCCTCTTGTGCCTGCCTCTCCCATCACTCTCTCACCCCTTCCTCAGCATGATTCTTAGCCAGATGGTGCAAGAAGAGGACTACCTGTCTTGTCAGATGGGGCAGGTACACTGACCTTCATAGTGATGTCTCCAGTCACCTACACCTATTTTTTATGGACTCAGGAGGAGTGTTGCCTGAGCTGCAGACATTGATTTTGCTGGTTGGTGGAGGAAACTCTTTTTTTTCCCTTTGGTACTTTCAGTCTATCTTAAGAAACCAAAAAAAAAGAGGATGGAGAGAGAAGAGTGGATCAGAAGATCAATTTTTCTGAAAGGCTTCAGACCTGCTGCTGGTACCACAATGCTAAGGACTTTCAACTTTGACCTTTATCCAAAACATGACCCCCAGCAGGGAGCTTTTTATGAAGAAAAGTGATAAAAACCAAGTCTGACTTCTTCATCTCTGTGGGGTGCTGGGAGTGTTTCTCCTTTGTCACACTGCAGGGGGTGGGGGCAGGCAGGAGTCTGCACACTAAAACAGGTTTAGCCTCTAACCAAGCAAACGTGGACCCGTTACCCAACCTCTGAAACACAGCTCCCTCATTTTGTTGAGGTATCCAGGGATTGTGAGAGCAGTTAATGATTCCGTAGAAGTGAAGTGTTCACTTTTGTCAGTATTATACTCATTATCGTTTATTGAATGCTCTCTTTGGGTCAGTTCCAAGCAAGTGTTCAAACTAAATCAGTTGGGGCAAAGGAAAAAACTTCATCATCTTTAAAGCCATGAACTGATTATCTTTGGAGCATCTGCTCTGTGTTTAATCCTCTGCTGGTCCTCATCTGTTTTTTCAATTATTTGGGGTTCTAACCCAGTTGAGAACCACACAGAGGAGCCAGGTAGGAAAGGAGTCTGTATCGTAGGTGAAGACCTGACCAACACAGGGCTCACATCTACAGCGAGGCTGGGCTTTTGCCACTGCCTGTGCTGCTGCCTCCTCTGCTTCCTCCTCCTTTTGGTTCTCACTTTGGATCCTGGTCCCAGGCTATAAAGTCAGTAGCATGGGGAATGGAGGCACTAAGGGGTAGGTCTTTTAGGGGATTGATTTGGGGTTCTGAGGATGGTAAGTCCTTTTGATGGCTTCCATGAGTCCAGGCTCTCTCTAGGTCATCAAGGTGGCCTCTAGGTCCTCCTGGCCCTACTGGAAGGTCAACCATGCTAGCTCATCTTGCCATAATGACCTGCATCTCTTGAACATTGCTGCTGATCGTCAAAGCTGTGCTTTGCATGCACACAAAACTTGTTGCTGATTCTGGTTTCTTTATAGCCATTTAGTGCTCTGTGAGTGTGTGTAAGTGAATTAACCTTTCCGAGCTGAGTTACCTCATCTATGAAGTAGTGATAATGTACCCAATCCTTAGGATGCTGGAGGATTAGAGATAAAGCACTTGGTGAGGGCCTGGCACATCATGGGCCCTCAGCAGGGCCACCGGGTAAGCCAGGCTCAACGTTGTGGGGAACTAAGCTTTCCATTCCTGACTGAGCCTCTTCCCTCTCTGCTGAGCAGATCTCTTTCAGGTTCCTGGTCAAAAACAGGCCTGTGTGCTGGAGTTTGGAGACTCTGGACTCGGGAGAGACATGGGTGCAGCTGAAGTAGGTCTCTAAAAGACAGTTTTTGGTGCACAGCCAGATCAGGTTCATCATCTGAGTGGGAGGGTTTCAGTCCCATATTTCAGACCTCCAGGGTACAGGCAGGGTTGTTAGTGGAAGTGAAGCAATACCCTGAGCCTCCCTACAAACCCATATTTAGGGCTATCTCAGGTAAAATGATGAAGTGAGCAGTGGTTTCCCCAAGGCACCACACTTCCTCTTTCTTTACTCCACTCTACTCTTTCAGTACCCTTCCCCCAGGCAGCCATGGAGACAAGTCTCTGAAAAACAAATTCACCCTAAGACAGAGATCAGCCAACTATGGCCCAAGGGCCAGCTAACGCCTACCACCTGTTTTTGTACAGCCCATGAGTTACAAATTTTTTTTGGGGGGGGGTGGGAGGCAAGGGGGAGGTGGGGATCCAAAGAAGAGTATTTCTAGACACATGAAAATCAGTGTCCCTAAATGAAGTTTTATTGGTGCACAGTCCATTTGTTTATATATTGCCTTTAGCTGCTTTCACACAATAGCAGAGTTGAGTACTTGTGATGGAGACCATATGGACCACAACTAAAGTATTTACTCTTTGGCCCTTTAAGAAAAAGTTTGCTGACCCCCTGCTCTAAAATGTTAGAGATTTCATGTGCTGTGTGTCTAAGGGGAATTTGCTTTCAAAAAGCTATGGCAGAGGGGCAAACCAATGGAATCCGGGCCCTGTGGGCACCTGCAGAGACACTGGGAAGGAAAGCTTTCCTGATACCTTCCAGTCACACTGGGGAACCTGAGGGGAGAGAAATGCTCATTTCTGCAGATGGGGCTGTTTCTGTCTGTCCACACTGGGATAGGGAGCATGAGAGGATGAGGCCTCTGATTCAGTCTAGCTGCATAGACAGTAGCCCTCAGAAGTGGATTATTAGCCTTCAGGGAGGCCAACCCACCAGTTTCTCTACTGGCTGGTAACAGTGATATTACCTGGGCCTTCGTGGTCCCACAGTTGTGTCGAGCCTGCCTAGCCTAGCCTAACGCTGGACGGCACATTCATTTCTTGCCTCTCTCCTATCTCTACAGAGTTTGCCTTCTGCCAGGTGGATGCCTCAATCGCTTTGGCTCTAGCCCTGGCCATCCTGTGTGACTTGCTCCAGCAGTGGGACCAGCTGACCCCTGGACTCCTCATCCTGCTCAGATGGCTGTTGGGTGAGGGTGAAGACCTCAAAGTCTGTGTGGAGAGCACTCATCAGGTAATGTGGGCATCTCAGGTCATCAGGAGGCAGGGCTGAGGTGTCCCAAGCCCACTGGATGTAGCACTGACAGGTTTGATTGGGCCTAATGTGCCTGCTGCAGGTGTGCTACTGGGTGCTTAGCTACCGCACAAGAACAGATCATGGAAGTATCCACATGATCACAGCAGCCTGCTGTGCTGCTGTGGGCTTAGGGGAGGTGCTCATTCTGCTTTGAGGTTCCAATGGTAAGCCTCCTGGTCAATGGGGGAAAAGGACTTTGAAAGGGGCCCAGTGGTGTCACTTGAGGGGCATGGGCAGTGGGGGGGGGTTCTGCAGACAGCACCAGGTGACACTGCCAGAGGGGTAACATCAAAATACTGTCTGTAAAATTTTTGTGCAATGTTTCAGAAAAATTTATTATTTTTTTATAAAAATATCCCTGTAGTTATAAAAACAAAAAGTTTTTGTAACCCCAGCTTGCATGTTCCAATATACTTACAAGGCTAAAACTTTATTCTAAATTTTACTTTTTGAAACTTCTATGTCCAGTGGGCTCGGGATGTTTCAATCCTGCCTCCTGTCCATGCTCTCACTATTACCCAATAACACTTCAAATCAGGTGGTTTCATCTGCATGCACTACTGGCACATGCTATTGTTTTTGTTGCTGCTGTTGTTTTTATAGTCGTTGATTTTGTCAGATTTTCTGGTGTTTCAGCTACAATACTGTGGTAACTCCCATGACGTCACTGAAAGGGCCCTTTGGAAGTTGAGACTAGTTTCTTTTTTGAGAATAATTAAAGGAAAGGAGAAAAAAATTTAAAAAAAAAAAAAATGCTTCCACTCAGTTACTGATAATGTTGTGATTCAATGTAGATTTTATGAAACATTTTTATTTTAAGTATTCATATAATCTAAGAAATACTGCATTTAAGCAGCTTACAACTATATATATCACTTACTATTCTATGATTAAAATGATAATAAACATTACTAACCCACTGCCCATCAAATTGATTCTGACTCACAGCGACCTAGGACAGAATAGAACTGCCCCATACAGTTTCCAAGGCTGTAAATATTTATGGAAGTAACTGCCTCATCTTTCTCCTATGGAGCAGCTGGTGGGTTTGAACCACCAACCTTTTTGTTAGCAGCCAAATGTTTTAAAAAACCACTGTACCATCTGAGCTGCAAACATTAGTAAGGATTCTGTACTGTCTGATATGGGTGGAGATCCACAGCGGGCAGAGAAGACAGTAAAACCATGAGTTACTGCACTGGGTAATGTCAACCCCAGTGACACCACTAAAGGGGCCCTTTGGAAATTGAGAATTTAATTATGGAGAATGCTTATTAGTCAACATTGGAGTAGCTCTGGGGCTCCAGAAAGTTTAGATCTGAAGGTAAAGCATTTCCAGAGGATTAGGGTTCTTCCAGGATACTTGCTATTTAAAGGAAACTATTAGCCCCCTCCAGCTGGGGGGCACCCTCAACAAATAGAGAAACTGAGGACCAAGTTAAAAAGCAAAAGCATGTTGAGGGCTGGAAATCAAATCCACCAGTGTCTGACTCAGCTGGCCTTCTTGGCATCCCCAGCAGACCAAGAATTCAAAAAGCAGCCTGTTTATGGGAAATCTGGAGACATGATAAAGTGTCTGATAAAATGGCCTTGAAAATCCACAACATTATAGAAATTTGGTTTCATACTGGAGACTAGTGCCTATGCTTGATAATTCTTTGCTTTGTTCTACTACTGAGATTTCCCTTCCTCCCTCATGATTCCCACACACACCCTTAGGTCTAGGGCCCACTCCCATGTTGAGGTTCCCTGCTTACCTAACTTTCAACATCAGGCACCCAAAATATCCCAGCTTTGAACCACAAACACATCTTTATCAAAGGTCGTGTTAAGTCTGGGGGAAAAAAATTCCTCTCTGGTGAAGATGTACAAGTGAAAATAGAAAGTGACTTTCAGAACTGCAAGTGGCATATATACGAGGGTGTTGACAGGTGAGAGTGGACCCTCTCTCGGTGGGGGTGGGGGGTCATGCCTCTTCTGCATCTGACAGGACTCTCCTTGGCCTCGGCTGGGGCTTGTCAGCATTCCCTGTTAGGCTGACATTTGGCTTTTTCATTGGTTTAGGTGGAAGAAGACTACCTGTTTGAAAAAGCAGATGTCAACTTTTGGGCTGAGACCCTAGTCTTCGTGAAATACCTCTACAAGCACCTCTTCCAGCTCTTTTCCAAATCCAGCAGGTGTCCCCTCAGCCCTGAGAGTCTCCATCACCTTCAAAGGACAGTGTCAGAACAGTATCACCTCCTCTCCCAGCTCTTCCAAGAGCTGCCACCAACTGCTGAGTTTTTGAAGACAGTGGAATTCACACGACTGCGCATTCAGGAGGAAAGGACTTTAGCTTGTCTGAGGCTGCTGGCCTTTCTGGAAGGAATGGAAAGGGAAGAGGCCCTAGTTCTCAGTGCTTCTAATTCTCCTCCAGAAGCAAGTCAATTAACTCTGCCAGGAACAGAAACAGCATGTTGAGAAAAGACGTTTCTAGGGGTAGAGAGTATGGATTATTCCACACTAAATCCACTAAATCTGCAGGAAATGTGTTGAACATAAATTCAAGACCTTTCCCCCTCATGACTCCCCCATTTCTGTGAGTCTAGTCTTACATCCCTTCCTACAGAGGAATTTTCTTCAATTCACTCATTCAAGTCAGCCAGGTTTATTGCAGCTACTGTAGGAAGGCCACCATGTTGAATATTTACTCTGTTCCCAGGTGCAGGCCACCTGCAGGCCTGAATTAGCCTCTTTTGTCCCCCAACACTTCTCACATCCAGCAATAGCCTGTCTGCATTGACTGCATGTGAACTGACTACACAGAATTGGCTTTTTGGTTTTCTGTGTTTTTTCCCCCGGAATTGCATTATAACACACACACACAAACACACACACACACACACACCCCAGACCTTTTTGGCCAGACGTGGGGGCTGGATTAGTTGGCAGACAGCCCATGTGATCCAATCTTTAAATTTTATTCCATTTCAGCAAGGCAGAAATATGTTTCAAATGTTGAATCCTGAGAGAATTAAGGATCAACTTCATAAGAGATAATTTTGTTTTTATTGTTTACGTGTGGTAAGGCCTGCAGTGGCCTGTACATCCCATCCTTGGAAAAAGCCACTGAAAGCTCCCTTTGCCCCCACAAAAAAGTGTTTGTGATAATGCTAGGAAACCTGATTTTGCCACCCAGTGAAAGCATATACTCGTGGCTGTTGAAAGCAACCCAGGGAAAGGAGAGCCAGAATAAATGATTTATTTGATGCACACTTTTCAGTGTCATTTGCTTGGTGACAGTTATAAGAAGATACTCACTTAACATGCCAGTAAACACGTTCACCCATTTTAGTGATTTCACCTAGAAACCTTACCGATTTTGTGTCTTTCCGAGCCCATTCCAGCACTCTCCCCTAGATAACCAGCAGGTGTCACTCTTTCATACATTTTGCTGTTGGGCTGTTTTCCGTGGGATTGCCATTTCTTAATTTGTAATTTCAGAACAAGTGTTATCCACCTTTACCTAGAGGTTCATAGCTTGGATGGGTCTTAGCCTTATCCACATTCATTTTCCATCCTAGTTATCTGAAAAAAACGTTTCATCCATGTATTCCAATGTTTACGATCTGTAAATAATTTTAAATACTTCTCTCAGTTGAGCAATGGCTTAGAATTATTTTACTAATACTCACTTGGTGTTGAGGGGAGTTTGACATGATCATTTCCTACTACAAAAAAAAATGATATTTCTAATGTAATGTCTTTAAGTGAAAACCGCCTAATACTAAAAACACAGCCATAACACAAGTATAGGGAAAGGGCCCTGAAGGAAGAGACCAGGAAAGATGTTAATTCAGCCAAAGTTTTGTCCTTGAGAGAGCAGGAAGTTTCCTGGGTGGTTTTGGACCATTCAGCCTAAAATGTGGTTTTTGTGATCCTGAATTAATTACCTAGTTAGGCATCTGTGAAGCCCAAACTTGATAGGAAGGTGCCAACCTAACATTTCTTTTTGTTCTGAGATCTAGCTAGTAAAGTCAGGGAATTGTTGGCGTAATGTAGTGATAACCATGGAAGAGTCATTATTAAACTGGCCGCAACACAGCCTAGCTCACTGGAAAAGACCAGTATTCCTTTCTCTCCATTTAGAATGAAATAAAAGCAGTTATATAATGATAAAAACACTTTATACTAGCAGGTACTCTGTACCAGAGCATGTACCATAACGCGTTTACATGCTATCTCCAGAATCCTTCTAACAAGCCTGTAAGTGGGCATTCTTATTGCTGTTAAATGGGAATTACTCTCGATTTTGATCTTAGCTATGGCCAGCCTGGGAGGGTGAGAGGAACAGATGTTCCCACTGGTTTTGTATCTGAAATCTTGTTACTGACCTAATAGGAAAAGCTGGGGAAATGACTGTTTCACCCTTTCTTGATGCATTCCCAGGGGAAGCTTAGAGAATACCCTCCTCTAGGGGCCGCCCTCAAACTCTTGTGTTTGGGGCCATTTCAACAACAGCAAATAGATAGATTGATAGATAGATACATTAATTAATTTTTTAAAAAAGTTAAGGGTTCTCCAAATGTCCTCCAAATGTCAACTACATTGCCAGTGCAGGCTAGGTGGTAAGAGTAAAGCACCTAGCTTCACTAGTTCTGAGGTCACCACCCTCACCACCAAACTCTAGGGTCTGACATTTTTTTGTCCCCTCAACTCCGAACTTAAGATTCTTTGGATCCCTGTCCATCTGGCCAAAGCCTAGAGGCCTGGCTTTCTTCATGTTTATGCTTTGTTAATTTTTTAAAAAATACATGACAGCTTATACTGTTAAAGTATTATCTTTTAAACATCCTCACAGATATCATCTCATTTCCACTTTGACAAAGGTGAGAGATAGGTAAAACAAGATTTATCTTAATTTTACAAGAAAACCCAAGCAACAAAGAGATCATGTGATTTGCCCAAGATCACTTGGCTTGTAAGAGGCAGGGCTGAACTCCAGTCCATTTCGGATCCTGATGTCTCATTGGTCAGGTGTGCGAGGAGTGGAAGCAGTGGAAACTATAGGCCCATCTGGACTCTTAAGGAGTCAGCTCCTGAGTAAGGGGCCTGGTTTATTCTTTCCAGTTTAATGCAAGGGTAAATGAATGCAGAAATGTAACAAGAAAAGATCAAGTTTGGAAGGGGGTGTGGGTCGCGTGACTTCCTTCTTGACTGGTATGGGACCTTCCAGCTTAGGCCTGGTCTGCCAAGTGTGCGAAATCGTGGCCCCAGCTCGTTTTTTGACAGCCTGCATAGAAGCGAAGTGAGGAGTGTACCAGACCAGACGCTTCCGATCCTCCAGAAGGGGCTGCTTGCCCAAAGAAGTTAGCGGCTTTAGCCTTACTGGGCGCTAGAGGGGGTGGCTGTCCCACACCCGGACGGGGGCGGGGCGCTCAGTTAGCGCCAAGTTGGCAAAGCGCATTTCTCAGCACAGGCTGTTGGGGTGTGGGGTTGAAGAGAAGGAAGCGGAGGGAAGGCGCGCCCACCATCCGCGTCCTTGGTGCCCAGCCCGGGCCGAGGCCTACCTCAGCCGGAGCCTGAGGCCCGCACCGAATTAAGGCGGGGTGCGGCGCCCCAACTGCTGGAGAGAGAAGGGGCTTTGAGGGCGCTCCAGGCCCAAGTTGTGCCTGGACGGGAAGCCTTGGTCGGCAGCTGGACCCCAATCCCCGCAGTCCAGCTGTGGAAAGCCGGGCTAAGCAAAACAGTAGACGGACGGGACGCAGCCTCCAGGCCTGCGCGAATCTCCCAGCCTTTACTCAGAGCCAGCTCCCCCGCCCGGGACGCTCCGCGCCTTTGGCCCTGGCTCAAGGTCTTGTGATGTGATTAGCAAAGCCAGTGCCTTGTCCTCAGACACTCAGCCCTGCCCGGCTGCTCTGGCGCTCAAGCCCTGTTTACTGCAGCTTGGGCGGGGAGGGGGGCGGAGAAACGAGCTCGAACTCCTCCGGGCAAGACCGCTACTGCAGTCGCCCTCGTGGCCGCTCCCGCCCCCACCCCGCCGCGTCTCCACGTGCAGCTAGGCTGGAGCCGCCACCCACAGGACTCGAGCCCAAAACCCCCGCCCCTCGGCCTGAGCACCCTTTGCAAATCAGTCGGGCGCGCGGACGATTGCAATATTGACGCATTTTGCAATTCCCGCTCCCTGTACAAAACCTAGGGTAAAAGATAAAAGCTCTTCAAGTCTGCCAGCAGGATCGGGCGGGGAAAGACACGTCTAAAGCTGCAGAACCTCGCTCACGTTATACGTGCTGGGGCTTTCCACACTACAGCTCCCTATTCGAGGAGCCGTACCTTCCCGCCGCCACCCAGCAACCCATCCAGACCGAGTTCTCCACGCCTCCTGGCGCGCCCAAACTGCCCCGCCCCAAGGGCTCTCCACCCCCTCCCCCAAAGGAAAAAAAAATTGGCGGCGGCCAATGGGAGGCCGGGAAAGCTCCTGACGTTCACAAGCCGGCGGGCGGCGTTGCCTGGAGACCCCGGCCGGGTCAGCGTTCTGTCCCCTCCCCCGGCGCTCCCTCCGCACTGCTGCCGCGCTCCGCGGGCTCTATATAGGGCGCGCGCTCGCAGGTCGCTGAGTTCCAGCAGTCCGCGAGCTGCCGTCGGCTCCGCGCAGGGGGGGCGGGCTGGGCACCCCGGGGCGCGGAGCGGCGCTCTTTGCTTCTCTCAATTTTCCCCCCACTCCGCACTCCAGAGCACTCAAACCAGTCCACGCTGCTTCCCTCTCCCTCTTTTCTAGCCCCCCCCAGCAAACTTTCGGTCCCGCCTCCGGCCCTCGCCCGTTATTCGTCGTGGCTCAGGCCCGGCCGCGCCGCCCCGAGGGCTTCTCCGGACCTCTCTGCCAGCAGCATCGACCATTACCATTACGGGATCCAGAAACATGTCGACCACACTTCTGTCCGCCTTCTACGATATCGACTTCTTGTGCAAGGTACGCGGGGGGAGCAGGGTAGGAGGAGGGCAGGCAGGAACCCGTTGTTTTCAGACTTTGCTTCCTTTCCTCGACTCAGGGACTCCCTCCCCAATTTGACATTCGGGATCGAGAGGAATCTTGGAGTTTGCAGGAGTGTGTGCTATCGCCTTGTGGGCGGGGAGAAAAAGCTGGGAGAAAGGAGGACAAGAAGGGAGCCGCTGTAGTTGTTTAGTTTCTCTGGAGCCGACCGCGGCCACGCTGCCCAGGGTTTCCCGGACCGGGTTTGCGCCGCTCAGCCCGGAGGCTCACGGGCTAGGGTCACACGTCGAAACTGTGCGGCCGGCGGTGGGCGTCCTTCCTTCTCCGACTCTTCCCTACGCGAACTTGCAACTTAATGCGCATGTATGGGTGGAGGGTGGGTGGGGGCCGAGTCGAAATCGGCCAAGAGAAAACAAAATTCTCAGGGCTGGAAGTTAGGCTACGGCTCGTCCCAACTCTTCCCTTCCTTTCCCTTATTCGTCCCTTCCCCGCTCCCCTCCCTTTGGCAGACGGAGAAATCCCTGGCCAACCTCAATCTGAACAGCATGCTGGACAAGAAGGCGGTGGGGACGCCTGTGGCCGCCGCCCCCAGCTCGGGCTTCACGCCGGGCTTCCTCCGACGGCACTCGGCCAGCAACCTGCATGCGCTTGCCCACCCTGCGCCCAGCCCCAGCAGCTGCTCGCCCAAGTTCCAGGGCGCCGCTAACGGCGGCAGCTGTGGTGGCGGCGCTGCAGCCAGCAGCCCGGCCTCCTATGGCACCCTCAAGGAGCCATCGGGGGGCGGCGGCACGGCCCTGCTCAACAAGGAGAACAAATTCCGGGACCGCTCGTTCAGCGAGAACGGGGAGCGCAGCCAGCATCTCCTGCACCTGCAGCAGCAGCAGCAGCAGCAAAAGGGCGGCGGTGGTTCCCAAATCAACTCCACGCGCTACAAGACAGAGCTATGCCGGCCCTTCGAGGAGAGTGGCACGTGCAAGTATGGCGAGAAGTGCCAGTTCGCACACGGCTTTCACGAGCTGCGAAGCCTAACGCGGCACCCAAAATACAAGACGGAGCTGTGTCGCACCTTCCACACCATCGGCTTCTGCCCCTATGGGCCACGCTGCCACTTCATCCACAATGCTGATGAGCGGCGGCCTGCGCCATCGGGCGGCGCCTCCGGGGACCTGCGCGCCTTCACCCCCCGCGACGCCCTCCACCTGGGTTTTGCGCCGCCCTCACGGGAGCCTCGGCCCAAACTACACCACAGCCTCAGCTTCTCTGGCTTCCCGTCGGGCCACCACCAGCCCCCAGGAGGCCTTGAGTCGCCACTGCTGCTCGACAGCCCTACGTCACGTACGCCACCACCGCCTTCCTGTTCCTCGGCCTCGTCCTGCTCTTCCTCGGCCTCATCCTGCTCTTCGGTCTCGGCGGCCTCCACACCCTCTGGCGCCCCAGCCTGCTGCGCCTCGGCAGCGGCGGCAGCAGCTGCCGCGCTGCTGTATGGTGCGGGGGGTGCCGAGGACCTGCTCGCAACAGGTCCCCAGTGCGCCTCCTGCTCGGCGGCCTCGTGCGCCAACAACGCCTTTGCCTTTGGTCCGGAGCTGAGCAGCCTCATCACGCCCCTCGCCATCCAGACCCACAGCTTCGCCGCAGTGGCCGCAGCCTACTATCGCAGCCAGCAGCAGCAACAGCAAGGCCTGGCACCCCCTGCGCAACCCCCTGCGCCTCCCGCTGCACCCCTCCCTGCCAGCGCAGCCTCGCCGCCCTTTAGCTTCCAGCTGCCGCGCCGCCTATCAGAGTCGCCGGTGTTCGACGCGCCCCCTAGCCCCCCGGACTCGCTGTCGGACCGCGACAGCTACCTGAGCGGCTCCCTGAGCTCAGGCAGTCTCAGCGGTTCTGAATCCCCCAGCCTCGACCCCGGCCGGCGCCTGCCCATCTTCAGCCGCCTCTCCATCTCCGACGACTGAGGCAAGAGGGCGCTAGTGAGGAGGAAGGAGAGCAAGGCCTCTCTAGGGGTGCTTGAGGGCGCCCCTCGGTCACTTCTCCCCTGCTGTTGGTGCAGGAGGCTGGACTTAGGCCAGGGGTGGACTACAGGCCAGGCTGAGCACTTGGACTCGAAATCTGCTGGGAGCGGGCCCCTACCGCTCCCCTTTCGGTTTCCTCTAGTTTTGCTTTTTTATTATTATTTTTATTATTATTATTAAGAATTTTCAGTCTTGTTGAGCAAAAAAAAAGCCAACGAACATTTTGTATTGGTGAACAAAATATTCACAACAGGGCAGTTGTGATGCGAATAGAACAAACAAAAAAAAACCCAAACACGTAACCTTTTTTTAGGTCTCTGATAATGTTTGGGACTTTAGGAAAAAATCAACCCAGCACCAGCAGCTACCAACCACCATTCCATCTCTTAACTTGAAAAGCATTAGTCACAGTCCAGATGTGGGAACTCTTATCTTGAGAGAAATTCCCAATTGTCGTTTGTCTCTCCAGTGTAAACAAACCAGCCAGCCACCACCTTACTAAACCTATATAAGCTTTTAGAACCCAATATTCTGCCAAGAATATGCCTTGATAAGTAACTTTCTGCCTTAGGTTTTTTTTTTTTCCCCAAAAAAAAAATAGGTTATATCCTTTTTTTTA